GGTTGTTGGTTTCACACTCGTTACTTCAAAAACAACAGCTAAAATTCACACTGGTGAAAAGACAAACATATCTTGATGAAACTGAAATAAAAGATGCATAGGCAACCCAAAAGTATAGCCAGATAGCGATGTACAAACAACCACTTATTGTGAGAATTTATGCTATATAACTTAAAACCCAAAAGTATAGACAGATAGCGACACATAAATCACCACTTATTGTGAGAATTTATGCTATATAACTTAAAACCCAAAAGTATAGACAGATAGCGATGCACAAACCACCACTTATTGTGAGAATTTATGCTATATAACTTTAAAATGTATTTATATATTTTGAGAGGCCCCCCGATGATTATCTGGCCAGTTATCTCCCATTTACAAGTAGGACCGGGTACCAGTGAAAAGAAGTCATTCAGTCAGTGTAAACGCTGGGTAAATACTTTTACAGGTTGACAAAGACCGAGCGGAGTCAGTGATTGATTGTTACGTACAGGTTCATGCACATTACCCGGCTGATCTACCTCTAGTCCTGCACTGGGGAAATCTATACTGTCAGACTACTGGCTTCAGGGATTTACCTGGACCGGCTCTGTGAATCAGCTCCAAGTCTACAGCATGTGTCAGTAAACATTCCCTAATTGTAATTAAATAATTCTCAATTAATGTTATCAAAGTTTTCCAGCTTTGTGGAAGTGTTTTGCATTTCACTGATAACACGAAGAAAATTTATCGTTAATTTTAAAAGCAATTTTTAAATACTTTTGATAATACAAATGTGAAAAATATATAAAAATCCTAATAATTAATGAATTGATGATGGTTTTGCAAAAAGTCTGGAAAGGAGACATTATTTTGCAAATTCTGGAGTTATGGTCACTGAGATGCAGAATCTCCAGATTTGACTATTTTACCGGTACATACAAATAGCTAAAATACAAAATAAATACATTTCACTTTTGTACAACTGGGACATAAGGTGATATTTCTACGATATACATGAATTTGATGACAGCATGTAAAATTAACTTGAGTGAGTGAATCATGTTTTGTGCCACTGTCTCCATTATACAAAACTTAACAGCAGTGTAGAAAACCAACACACAAATCTGAGACTAATGGATTATATGTCCCTTGTGAATGAATGCTGTAAGTCCTGGTCCGGGATCTAGCAGCTCAGACAGATAATCCATAACAGCTTTTGTCTGATTAATAGCTGATCTTTCACTGAACAGCAAAACCCTGTTTAATTCAGGATGGAAAATATACGCTCGGTAAACCCCCACAGTAATGCACTTCCTGATTAACTTATAATGGTGTAGAGTGAGTGTTGTCCATTTGTGATTATTTTTCCGACTGCGATAAATGGCAGCTGGGACTACCACTTCTGGATCACTATTACTGAAAAATTGTGCTCCCTTGTTTCACAGAGTACGAGACAAACGAAGGTCTTTAATGGTTCACTGTATCAAGATGAGTTAATTGAAATTAAATAACAATAGCAATATCTCATTAAGTATGGAGATAATACTTATGAAGGAAAGGATCCATGCACAGGGACAGGAGCAGTAAACGTCTAATGCTTCAGAAAATGTTTGTATTAGTAAGTTAGATCTTGCCGAGTCTAACCAAGACTTACATGCAGCGGTCGAAATTAATGTCAGTCCTTAGACCCGAAGCTGACTGAAAAACACTGAGATCCACAGCTTTTGTTTTCTGCAGGTACTTATGGCCGACAGATTTTACATCCCCAATAACTAAGAGTATTATTTCTATATTAAAATATTGGCAGGGGTGAAAATAACTTTAATATTGCTAGTGTACTCCGGTACAGTGGCACATGTAAAATCACTTGCCCTGATAATTTTTCCACTATACCGGCCGTTTTCTTGTTGATTTTTTAAAATAAACAACATAATTAACATTGGAAAGTCAACTGGACACCGGTACAGTGTGATATACAAATTTGCTTGCCCGAAAGAAAAAACACTGGACTCGGACGTCGGGCAATGGGTTATTTCCACCCCTGATAGGGCCTACACATTCTGATCAGGACCCACAACCTTTTATGGTTCTGGGTCCTTAGGGCCTGCAGCTATTCAGGGTTAAGGGCAAATACTCACGCAGCTTACATGGTACATGTATTATAAAGCATAAAAGAAATGTAAAAATCAGTAGGTAAATCCAATACATCTGACATCCTAATACATCAATACAAGAACACATCTACCTTGGACAAATCTTACCGTGACAGGACCATAAGAAATCCACACAGAAATCAGATCACTGATGATAAACTAACAATTCCTCACACTGTTCAATATCCCACAATACAGACCTTACTTCTCCACCATGGTGTTCCGACACAAAGCGACACAACAGCACTTGATCATCAAGTCCAACACTACACCGTTGCCTACCTTCAACCTGCACACATTACACCAATCACAGACCTCTCCGCTGGCTTATCAGGACCCGCCTCTCATCAGTGAAAACTCCCACAGTAATCAAGCTCTTGGTTTTCACGGAGGTGGTATAACACTGTATTGTTAACTGGAAGGGTACACAAACAAGCCACTTGGAAACGTGGGCCTGCAAGGGAGGAGCGTGGAGACTGGGGTCACCTAAATTGTTTATTTGGTTCAAACTACCTTTGAACTGACTGAACTTTTATTGGGATTACTCTGTTTACACATTGAAACTTTTTAAACCTATTATTAAGTCTGAATTATTTAGTGCTTCTTATAAGCTGCTAAACATGAAGTGATAGTTGCCTCCACAAATCCAACATATTGTATGTGATCACATTTGAGGCCATATAAACTGAATTCCTTGTTTTTCACACATTTTGACAAGATGCAGAAGGAAGTATAGCAAATAAAAAATCAGGTTCATTTGTGTGTTTTTTTCTTCTAACAAACATTTTAAAGAAGTTTTTCGACTGTGTGAGTTTGGTTTTACGCTGCTCTTAGCAATATTCCAGCAATATCACGCGGGGGGGACAACCAAAATGGGCTTCACGCATTGTACCCACATTGGGAATCAAACTCGGGTCTTTGGGTGACAAGTGAACGCTTTAACGACTAGGCTACCCTGCCAACCCAGAACTTATTGTTCAACGCTACATTCAGCAATATTCCACCACTATGATGCCAGTTTGTGGAATAATCAAGTCTAGACCAGACAATCCAGTGACTGACATCATGAGCATCGATCTATGTAATTGGGACACGATGACATGTGTCAACCAAGGCCAAATCTAACCCGGATCTTCCCGTGTCTGCAAAATTTTGATCAAGCCGGGTATGATAATCAGGCTGGGAAAAGTCAATACAAAAAGAGACACCATACAAATGTAAGTCGAGAGTCAGATAGGGCAAATCACTGAAGAAACACAAACAAAGACGTGTAAACAACTAAAAGTTGTACCGTGACCAAGCAGGCACGAATTAGTGTCTGTGTGCACAGCCAGGTAATATATATGAACACTTATGGTAGCTGTGTCCACTGTATGACCCCCTGTTGTCTATACTGAACAGTAGTGGACCTGCCAGTGTGTACTGTCAACATTATTACACTGTGGTGACAAAGAATCCTTGACAGCAAGCTATCTGGATTTTACCACCATCAGTGAAAGAGTGATTTACATTCAAATCTGAAATATTCCCACAATATCACTCAATTTGTAAGCACTCAACAGGGAACAAACAGATTCTATCACCCTTTTACAGCTAGTCAGATTTTAAGACATGGATTTCCTGTACCCAATGCTTATCTCCTTGTGGGAATTCCAAGACAGAATAATTCCTCAGTACCAAATCATTTTCTTCCTGTGGGAATTTCATGATAGAAAAATTCCCAGAAGTCAACATTTGTCTCCACCCATCATGTGCCAAGTCACATACTGTAACCACCCATTGGCACTCAGCATGTGTATATGAATGACGATATGAATCACTTTGAGAAAAGGTGGTGCATCCTGACCCACAAATGGCATACATCACAAACACATGCAAAGGGAAGTGAACTGTTCATCTGAAAACACATTGGAACATATGGTCACATGTAACTAGCTCAAACAGCTTTCTTGTCTATGATGAAAGGGTAATGAGAACCAATTCTGCCCCAGAGTTTCCTAGGAAGACAAGGATGGGGTTGATCTCCTATTCCATCCCAAGAATCCAAATGGAGAAACAGGCATGTGGTGCTTACACTGGGAACTATTCTCTCATGGAATGACTATGGATGAATAAGCATGGGCAAATTTTCTGTGTCCAGAACTGGGGAACTTCTCTGTCCCAAGAACCTCCATCAGGAGACAGGTATAGGGTACTGGTGATTTATTCTAACATGGGAATCCCAACAGGGAGACAACCCTCAGGTGCTGGGGAACTTCTCTGTGACAAGAACCTCCATGGGGAGACAGGCATAGGGTACTGGTGATTTATTCTAACATGGGAATCCCAACAGGGAGACAACCCTCAGGTGGTCGGGAACTTTTCTGTCCCTAGAACCTCCATGGGGAGACAGACATAGAGTACTGGTGATCTATTCTAACATGGGAATCCCCACAGGGCGACAACCAATAGTGCTGGGGAACTTTTCTGTCCTAAGAACCTCCATGGGGAGACTGGCATAGGGTACTGTGATCTCATTAAACATGAGAGTCCCCGCAAGATGACAGTGACCCACAGGTGGGTGACAAGCCTATAGAGAAAACATTGGGCTCTACGGACCAATTCTCCCAATGCTGTTACCTCATACCATAAAATATAGAAACAAGACACATTAAGATAAGTATTAAGAAAATGGTTACAAATAAATTTAATTTAAAAAATGTGTGTAAAACTTGAACTACTGCAGAAGCAATAAAAACAACTACCTGTTCTATATACTGCCTGCAAATATCTACTTCCCATGGTCTAACTAAAGCATTTTGGTAAATTGTATCATACATGTTGCAGTGAAGCCTGTACTAGAAGCTATATGAAGATACTTACAGTGAGGAAAGAGCACCTGTATCTCTGGGGAGAGTCCAGCAAGTCCATTGAGTATTGCAAGGGTAATTCCTCACGCCGCCACACTTTCCATAAATGATACATGTAAGTCGGCGCTGCCATGGAGCAAAGAAACAGTCACAACAGCTACCTTAATGAGCACACGTCATTAATGAGATGAACGGTTTATACTGGTGTCATACACTTAGTTCCTTAACAGTTGTAGCTGTAACGTGTTCCCTTCGGCTATCTTAAAATGGTTCATCAATATCAAAAGTCAATACAACCTACCAACCCTACATATATTGTCATGCTAATGACGAAGGATAATAGTCGACTTGATTATGTTTGATCAATATTTGTTTCCCCACTCAATCAATGAACAACATAAAATTGCTTGCAATGAAATACAATTTCGACTTTATGCTATAAACTGAAGCAATAACAATTTATTCTTCTATCGGAATTATATTTTGAATAGCATGTTGGTTAATATTTGATTCCAATGTCATCTTGATGCATTTAGTCCACATACTGAACACACAGTCCAATTCCACAAAATCAATCAAAAGTCATCAAAAACAAGGAGGCAACACATCCTCCCTGGCTGACTCCACGCTGAGAATCAGTCTGACCTCAATATATCTCCATATAGAGCTTGTCATCCTCACAAATCATATCCTCGCAAACATTATCCATCCAAACACAGATCATGATATTTAAGCACATAGACATCTAGTTTCGGTCCTCTGCAATCCTTAAACATGACCCAGCTCACCTCTTACTATTCAGACCTTTACACCTCAGATGTGAGAATTGAAAAATTAATGACAAGGACTGCACCAAATCATTTCATCAGCAAAAGTATGGACCAACCACCAACCAATCAATGGCACATCCGATGTCACATGCAGAGTCTGTCGTGCCTGGGAAACATTTGTCTTTCATTCACGATCAATTGATCCATTTAGATGCCTTTCTGAGTAAGCATTTACCATAGAGGTAATGCTGAACAAAATCAATACTTTAAGTAAAAAGAAGTCTACTCTGCTGTTCACAGGCTTAATTGTTATTGGTTGCCAAGTTATATGTAAAAGTGTAAATATTTAATGGCTTGGACTAATTGCTATCAGCCAGAAGTGCTTAGTAGATTAAATGGTGTAAAGTTGAATCCCAATTCTTCTACCATCTGGATGATTAATTTTTTTTAACCATTCTATAAAATACCATGAAATTAAATAGATTAAACATTCCAGAAGCAGTCAAGTAACACCATAACTTGTTACTTTGCAAATAAAACACTTTTATCAAATGTACAAAAGATTTGTAGACACAATAATTTGACAATTTTATCACCTAATACACCATTAATTTTGTTCTCACCAGCAAAACATTCTTCACAACTTGTAATCTCACAGGTGAATCACGCTATACAGGTTAAGAAACGTGCTGTAGACAAGTTTGAACCCTACTGGTAAAGGAAAGCACCACATCAACTTGTTTAATCACTGACTTGCTGTTGGGTTAGCAAGGTGATCATGACCTTACGACTTCAAACACATTTTAACATTTCAGAGCTCTGACATGACTTGAAATAATGTGATATATCACCCTCAAATATATCAATATACACTGGAATGGAAGTACAACATGCAAGAATTCATAATAAGGCATTCAAGAAATAAAAACTATTTCAAACTTTGCTGGAAACTCTATAGGGCTGTGTATTGGGATATACTGCAATTGAGGGACCTGTACAACATGTTGTGATATATTGGGAGCTAAAGTGTTTGACAGTGAGTGACACTAATTACACATTCAAATCCTATATTCTCCACACTAAGGCCCTAGAAATAAATGTTTTGGCTCTGATAACTGCAAGCTCAAAATAGGCTGGAAAGTTTGGGATTTATTTTCTTTTTTTTCACAATTTATAGAATGTAAGTATGCCATGTCAAATAATCACGAAGGGAAACATCAGTTGTGAGTGAAAATGTGTGTAAAATTTAACTTAAACCGTAGAGATAATAACAAAAAATAACATATTTTTTATATTATAAATACTGGTTCCCTGAAAAAATATTTAAATACTCATCGCTCGAAAAATGGCAGTATATACTATACTGACCATATACCAGGAATACTGTGCAGTCCTAAAACTTGAACGCTTTGCTCCAAACATAAGCTTCATATTTGTGTACAATTAGTAACCAAATCTAGCATTGCAGCCTTGATCAAATACATTCTTGTTTATTTCTTTACTTTGTGACAGCATCAAGAATAAATGAACTCTTCTGTAGTGAATAATGTACAGAAGCAGTACTAAACCCTGCTTATGGTAACAGTTAGACAAGCATTACTGTTGTAAATCTATGTGACAAGTGACACATTTCTGCCACATGGACAGAGAGAAATCAGAAATTACCTGAAACAGTACCTTCACCAGAATTGGTTTTAACATCTCCTCACTGACACAAACATGACCAGGGCCTGGATTTTCGAAACTCTCTTAGCGCTAAGATAGTCGTAAGTTAATGTTAATGTATAACACTTACGACTATCTTAGCGCTAAGAGAGCTTCGAAAATCTAGGCCCAGGAGTACAAATATATATTGTATACCGACTGACTGAAGAATGTGAAACTGTGTTGAACCCAACCTGCCTGTGAGCAACATCTGATCAATAAGTGCACCACACCTCCTCGTGTGATAGCTCTGCATGCACAATAATTTATTCATTCTGACGAGAATCATTTTACCATGATCATAAATAATGGATTTAGTTATTTTGGTTTTGATTTATGACATTCATCTACACATTCATATTCATTTCCAACATTTATACTGCCAATTCTTGATGCAAATGGAACTAACACCATCTGTCTGTGTTGTCTGCAGGGTAACAGTTCACCAGAACAGTCATTCTCTGGAAGAAACTTAAGGTTCTATCAAAATTCTGCGATGGAGGTTAATTTAAAGCTATTGATTAATGATCCATAAATGTTGATTCTTGTTGAATTCAAAGGTGCGCTAATACAAAAATGTTATTGTAAGTGTCATGATCAAACTGCTTTCAGGTGAGTGAGTGAGTTTAGTTTTTCGCTGCTTTTAATATTCCAGCAGTATCATGGTGGGGGGACACCAGAAACAGGCTTCATTTGTTGTACCCATGTCGGGAATTCGGTGTGATGAGCAAACACTTCAACCACTTGGCTACCCCACCAGAAATGGGATTCACACATTGTTTTCATAAGCAAACATCAATTTTTTTATTCACCAATGTTTTAAATGATTTGTGGTTCATATGAAACTGAGTACTAGTATATGCTTCATACTTTGTGTTCAACCATCTCATGTCACAGACAGACATGTCCTACCTGCAGTGTATCCTACTCAACACCAATCCTCCCTCCTGGAACTGTTGTTATACATCATTCAGCATTGAAGGATCTGAAAGAACATCAATATCCTTAAATACACCAAACCAGAATGCATGTATCCATCTGGTGTACCTTGACCAGTCAGTGTTCTGTGATACACCTTGATACATGCACAACCAAACATACAATACAAGCTCATCATTCTGAAAGAGACAGAATTCTTTAATATTTAGGCTTCAAATGGCAGGTGCAGCAGTATCAGTGATGATTTATTAATTTCCAATATTCAATCCGACATTTTGACTCTATTGACAGTACTGTAAGTTTGTAACGACAAACAAACAAACCAACCAACCAACCAACCATAAGTTTGTACACTTATTATTGAAAGAGTCCTTCTATTAACCTTCTCGGAGCCGCTATAGATTATGTTCGCCACCCATTAAGAAAAAGAAAGAAAGGCTTACCCTAACCCTAACATACCCTAACCTAACCCTGAGTATAAGAGGAAAGGGTTATTGGTAAACATGTTAAAATAGTTACAAAATAAGGTGGCGAGCATATTTTATAATCGCACCATCTGCTCATCACATTAGTCTCAACTTCTACATATCCTGTACTTAACGTTCATGTCTATTCAGAGTCATGTCCTAGGATTTGGTCCTAGGGTATCGTGTGTCCTAGTATATGAGAGGACTCCATATGACATCTCACTACAACCAGTACCTCTGCCGTATGGACACCCTCCACCAACTTAATCTCATAAGACATATTCAAAATGGCAGCTACCACTGAACATTTAGAACTGTCACTTTCAAAAGACTTTCCATAATTCAAAATAAATTTGCTGACAGCTTGATATGAGATATACTACTTTCCTGTTAACTAGACAAAGCATAATTGTGAATCTTAGCTCAGCCGTGGAATCTGCCATAATACATCCCACGTGATGGGATCAGAGGTGAGGGTAGCAGCGTGTTCGCTCTGTCCTGGCAAAGGCAATAGACAGTAGAATATAATCCAATGCTTGGACACACAATCTACAAACATGTCTCTCTTCTCACTGACATAAAGTCACATTGTAGTACTGTTTCTATACCCTGCGCAGCTTATCTGGACATACGCCTGTACACGCTCAACATGGGAAACATATCTGACAGAATCTCGTTGTACTGTCTGGAGTAAAACACTCTTAAATTTTACCCTGCTTAAAACAAGGGGAAAATTAGATTTGTCTTAAAGTTTGCCAGCGCCGTGAGTAAGGTGTTTGTTCAAACTATGATGTTTAAACTACAAGGAGTATACTCTCATCAATTTGTGAAATTTGTTAATATCCTTTTCAGTTTCTGAATCCTCAGGTTTAATTTGCAAACAGTCCTAAATATCTTAAATATGAACATGTGGTCCTTTGTCACGCATTTATCCAGTTTACTCGGGTGAAAGTATTGTTTGACTGGCTTAAGTGAACAATCTTGTTTTTCGGAAAATGAATGACTTCTTTGTGTGTCCTGGAACTATTTTATAAAACAAAATTACCCCTGTAGGAGCAAAAAACAATCTGTGTCATTACATACAAACTTCAGATATTTACTGACAAAGCTGTTTCTTCTTGATCGTTCAAGTGACATTGGTGTTTTACTTAAGTACAAGAATGTTACACAAATATCAGGTTAGAATATAAAATAAATCAAGTTAGAGGGTTGTGGTTCCCTAACAGATCTACATAGCATTTGTCTTAAATAACTTGTGATGATGTTTCATACACAATGGGGGCGGTGGGGTAGCCTAGTGGTTAAAGCGTTTGCTCGTCACGCCGAAGGCCCGGGTTCGATTCCCCACATGGGTACAATGTGTGAAGCCCATTTCTAGTGTCCCCCATCGTGATATTGCTGGAATATTGCTAAAAGCGGCGTAACATGATACTCACTCACTCACTTATACACAATGCAGGGAAAAATACACTTTCCGCAAAATAAACTTGACAAAAATGTACACAAATTTACACAATGAAAATAACTTCCAACAAAAAAATTGTTTTTCATTGAAACATATCTTTCTAGTCAGTAGACCTAAATTTCACCTATAAGCATTATTTTAAGTAAGACATCTGACAAAAAACTTCTGTCTATCCATGAAAATCATGAAACCACTGTTAGCAAACATAAATCCAAGTTTCCTTACCTAGGAGTGACAAGATACACGCAGGTGAGGTACATCAACCAACTGTCTACCTGTCTGAGCAGATACACCACACTAA